TTTATCAAAAATAAATAACTAAATCACATAAACTTTTCTAATTTATATTTTTTATTAAATATATATATATATTAAAAATATTTTTTAAAAATTAAAAAAAAAATCTTTTAAAAAGACTTGTTCAACTCGATTTTTTTTATCGATTCTTGATTGATTTTTATCATTTTTGAGCCAGTTTATTCGATTTTTGACTGATTCTTTTACACATCGATTTCTATCAAACCAATGAATAGACCGACTATTTGACTAGTCAAACTAGTCATCTAGTATAGTTTTGACAACACAATTTTTTACATTTATAAACTTGAAGGCATCTACCATATGAACATAAAACAAACAACATTACAAAAAAAAATTAACAATAAAGATTAAAAAATTATAAAATTACAAATGTAACAACTTAAATATTTATCTTAAATTATAAGGACTAAAAAGATTAAAAAAGATAAATATAGAGACTAAAAAAAATTATTTTAAACTATAAAAATTAAGGTAAAGTAAGTAAAATTATAAGGACAAAAATATATTTTAACCTTAATAATAAAAAAAAAAGAGTTAAGAATTCAAAGACGACCTTCAAAAAATAAAACTGAAAATCGTGTTTGACTTTCCATTAGAAAGTCGTGTTTCAAAAAATAAAACACAACTTACTTTGATTTGAAAAATTTTTAAAATAAAATAAAATAAATAACTCAGAAATTGCCTACCGTCTAAAAATTTCATTCCTTACCAACTTAATCTCATTCATTCTCATTACTTGTTTTTTATTTAGCTTTTGCTATGCTTCTCAACACCATTTATGTCAAGAATAAGTATCTTAAGAGTTTATCTTTAAGGTATATAACATCACCATACTATATTTAAAATTGGATACTTCTATTTGTCCACTTTTAAAACAAACTCAGATTTTAAAAAATTTATGGAAGGAAGCTAACGTGTTCTAGTGCTTCACATGGTTCACGGCGGGCAAATGAATCATAACCATTATATTCAATAATTTAATAATGAATGGTCCAGATATAAAACCGTTCACAGTAACTAAATAACAGGTTCACAATAATTAAATAACAGACTGAATAGCTATGGTAGCCTAGTGTTATGTGTTGATTCGAAAAATAATAAATAAATAAATAAACTCGATGGAAATATTAGGTCTTTCTTAAAAGGCTATTTTAGGGATTTTAATATGCATAATTGAAATCTATAGATATAATAATAGTGAAATTTATAGCTAGGTTTGCTTATAGTAAATGAGCAAATTTAACCCAAGTTCAGGCCTAAGCATCCTTGCAATTTAACTGAACGGCTAAACAGATCAGTCCATCATTATCCAAGAGAATACGCAAGAAGCAACTAAACGAAATCAAACCTAGCTAAAATCTAAACATTGTTTATAGAAACAATTCTGAATTTTTCATGTGGATACGTAAGTTGTTTTATAACTTTGCACTAATAAGCAAACGTGATTCATCTAACGAAATTTTCTGAACAATAAATTAAAGATGTCATCGCAAGAAGTTTATCGAATAATTGGAGACGGGGGTAAAAATCCGGAAACAAAAATGCATAATCCTTACACCTCAATTGGACAAAAATGTTGACCTATCCAAAATTTTGTTCGTGCCATCACAAAATAATATATACACAATGGATCAACAGCAACAATTTAAAACTTTCGAAACTAAAATTGAATTTAAAAGGCAAAACCTTATAATATGACTATTTCCTCTATCATTCATCAACTTCAACACCAGACATAGGCACCTCAGAGTTGACTTGATCATCATCTTCCTCACTCTTGCTGTTTTCATCATCCATTGTGGCTCCCTTTTGGAAGTAATCAACTTTGAAATCATAATCACCATCCATGGGATCCGATGAGCCTAAGGCTTTCTTGGCCTTTTTCCTTTTCTTCTTCTCTGCAAGCCTCTTTTTTGTATTAAGCATACCATCTGCGGCATACAATTTTTCATTTTGCCTACTAGCTGCACTGGTCCCCTTGTTCTTGGCACCATCATCATCTTCTTCCATAGATTCATCAACCTCAGCCATGTTTCCAGGACCTTCACCTTGTTCAGCTTGTTTGATTTGGGTATCATCCTATAAAATCATAGTTTGTAAGAGAAGTTTTCATTTAGTATTGTATATCATTGAGTTCAATAATAGGAAATTCCCTAGTCATTTTCTCCTACTTTAAATGTCATAAAGAAACAGACCTCTAACATCGTCTCATCAAGATTGAGGGGGCAACTTGAAGGAACTTCAACAGCATTGATGTCATCAGCAGATTTAAGGCTCCCAATATATGAAGATTCACTATTGTAGACTTCATCAATGTTAAATTCCTTTGAAAAATCAGAAACTATCTTAGCCTCAGATTCCCCTTGATCCCTGACTGGGGGCATGGTAAAATATGGAATTTTACCTGAAACACAAGTGGACATTTCTTTTAATTTGGTATCCTCATTTTTAACTTAGAAAAACCTAGTTTCAGTTTCTCTCTGTTTTATGATTTAACAGACTACATACCCTGGTTCCAATCATGAAGAACGATCCTTGCAGCAGCTTCAACGTCAACTACGCCACCCTTCTTAAGCTTGCCCCTAACTGTAGCTACTGTCCGTAGGAAGTCATCAACATCATCTCTTTTGAAACTTGGAATACTGTAAAGAATTTCCAGCCGCTGAGGCTGGCAGAGCTTGAGAATTTCCTTCACTGCATTGTCCAATTCAAAAGAAAAAGAATAAGACTTTCAATTGAATCAAGGTAACAAGAGTCGATATAGCGAGAAAATTGGGATTAAACATAAAGATTTTCCATAAATAAAAATAACTGTTTGCTGCTTTCATCACCAACATTCCTACCCTAGCAGGACAAACCAAACATCACAATATACAAAGTACAGACCCTGTGCTGCATTGACTAACCAACCTCATCCTCACCATCTTTTATTAACAGAAAATAAATGAAGTTGGAATGATTGAGCAAGTTTGAAAATACTGCAAATAATTGAATCCTAGGGATGATATAACAAAGAATGATGAAAGATAGAAGAAATTAAAAGACACAAACAGGGTGGACGAGTAAAATAACATTTTTGCATGTTTATTCTCCCTCCGAGAAGAATCATCTGCTCTAGAAAATGACTAGAATGTACCATAAGCAAAAGGAATTTGATACAGGTGCAATTTTCAAGTAAAGATAGTAGGAAATTCAAGAGGATCCTGGAAATTTGACATCAATCACTTGGGTTACATAAAAAGTAACCTTTATCAGGATTCAAGGTTCTAGAGGAACGGCATAAGTTGTTGAAACTTGAATTTATAAATGAAAAAGTAATTCTATATCATAGAATGAAGGAATATGAGAGGATAAGATATTCACTAAAACAGATATTAAATCATCTCACAACAGGACCAATGAGCAAAACAATAAAAATAGCAACATAATCATATCACATAACAAGTTTAAGGACACAGTAACATCTTTAGATATGCAGCAAAGAATAGCAAGAACTGCAAACTGCTGTAAAAATGAAGTGTTTCTTCAATATCCCAAGCTCATTTTCTTTACTTATTTTTTCACGTTATATTCTTATGAAGCTCCCACCATCAATTTTGAATTGCATTACTACAAAATAAAGACATAAATAACCAGATAATAACGGAAAGAACTGCTTTCATATACCTGGGCTAATTGGATCATCTAACTTCTCAATTCTCTTGCAATTTTTTAAAGCGACAGAAGCATCATTTTCTGTAGACTTCAGCATAACAACACCAGGGCAATCCAGCAGCTTAACGTTTTTGTCCAATTGAACCTCTTGCATTGATCTTGTTAACCCAGGAGTAGCACCAACATTGGCAACATGGCACCTCTTTAAGCTATTAATAAGACTACTCTTCCCAACATTGGGCAAGCCAATCAAACCCACAGTGATTGACTTCTTGATCTGTCAAGACAAGGAAGCAAAATAAATGAAGACTGACAATGAATGTTCTAAAATCAAATAGACAAATAGAGAAATAACAAACAAATGAAAATATATTGGATAACAAATAACTTCCAGCAGATTAAAGGAGACCAAAATCACCATGGTAAGAGAAAATCAAGAAAACATCTCTAACTTAATAATTCTCTTACACCACATAAGCTGATGATTCAGAAAAAGGCATATGCTATATAGAGCACATGAATGCCAATAACCCTCAAGTGCCAAGTAGTGGAGATATCATGTTAGCCGCATGAACCACATACATAGTTTTGGTAATAATTTAATTTACAAGTGAAAGAAATAATGTGTGATATCTACCACTTCTATTTTTCCTTTTTAGCCAGGTGCACAATACACATCCGTCTACCAACATTTCTTCAAATTAACCCAACAGGGAAGCCACAAAACAAAAATAAAAACCAATCTGCCTAGGTCCTCCACTCCTCCCTGATTTTATATACTATAATAACAAAGAACAATCTCCTAAGAAGTTGAATGCCCTTTAACTCTTATATGAGCAATAATTGGATTGTAATAATAACTATAACTGTGCAGTTTTTTTTACAAAAGCTTCTGATTTTATATTTGGTTTGAAGCATGAGTATCATGTCAAATTGTCATTTTGTTAATTTACTTTTCCAGCATACCTAAAGAAAAATGGGTAGAATAAACTAGCATGACATGAAAATGATACAAGAAAGGCTAAGAATAGTAAAACGATGGACTTTAAATATCCCAAGCTAGAATACATGTCAACACATACACAACCATACTCGTACAAACCAGAAAAACAACAAAGAATACATATCTCGGATAATGACTCCATGGAGGTAGCAATAAGAAGCATGCTACAGAACCATAATTACAACTTTATACAACATCACGTGGCAATTTTACTTCACATGAACTTAATTCAGTACAAAACTTTCGGTATGACATGGTAATTTACAAACACCTATCACCACGAACCACAAAAAGAAAATGTGGTGCAATTGAACCACATTCAAAATCATTCACATACTATCATAAGCAAACTACAAATTTAGTTGAGATAAATAATATATCAATATAGACAGAACTCATAAACATGTATACAGAAAATAGAATGAATCATGAATGGGCAACAAAGGCTTGAAGAAAAGAATCATATGATCTAGAGGGGAAAAATGGGAAATATCTATGTTGAGTATGTTCCAAACAATTCTGTTACCTCATGACTTCTTGAGTAATTCTTCAACAATTTCAGGAGAGTATCAGCCCCAAGACAATCACTTAATTGCAAAATATCACTAGGTTTGGCTGCCTTGGCTGCCTTAGAAGATCTCCACCCTAAGTTTGATCTTTGTTGCTGTGTGCTGCACTTGAAGGCAACAGTCGGTAATTCTTCTCTAAGATACTTGAGCCACTTTTCTACAGATTCTTGAGGCACAAGATCTATTTTAAGAGCCAAATGATCAGCCAGTGCACAAAAAAATATATTCCCAGAATGAAAAAGGAGGCAGAAAAAGATGTGTTTAGTAAGCTACCAATTTTATTTAAAAGCAAGACGAGACGTTTCTCAGGTCCTGCTTTCATCACCATCTTTTCTATATCAACACAGCGAGTACCCAATGGATCCCTGGCATCAAGGACCTCCAGTAAGACATCAGAGGCTTCGATGACCTTAACCAAATCCTTGTAAAAGGCCCTATCAGAGTTATCTATGGGATAAAAAGGCCAAAAAAAATAACAAATATAAGAACAGGCAAATAAGCACTTAACATAAACCAAATTTTCAGCCAATTACAAATAAATTAACACCTCTAGTCTTCCCAACAGTAGCAAATTTAACACTATCCTTGAGAGAATCCATTTCACTCGACTTGGAGTTATCTTCATCCTCTAGCAAGCCCAATTTTCTTTTCCGAGCCTGAAACAAGCTAATCATAATAAATTTCTAACTACAGGAAAAACAGAAATCATAACAACTAAAGCATAACACATAAGCATCCTGAGTTCCCCTTAAACATGCCAAAACCATAAAAAGAAATAGCATCCTTTTGTATGCGTAACCACACTATAAATCATAGTAAAATAATAAATTAATAAAATACATCTGCACCAACACAACTTGCAAAGAAACACAAAGGGTTCCTATAATATAAGAATAACGACTATCAAATTTCTACTATTACTTTTCATTTATCTTTGCTTATTTTACCTTGAAACACAACAAAACACAATCAATCATATTATATATAGATGTAGATATAGATATAAGGAATTTACTAAGTTACACCCACTTATATTTTAGAAAAAGTATGCTAGCTAGTATTAACGATGATCATCTTAAAATACATATACAAATCCTTAAAACAAGTGAATATAAATTAACAAAACCTTCCTGCATTATATAAAGAGTACTTTAGGAAGTGATAGTCACGATTTTCTCAAAATACACATAACTTAGAGCAAATCCTGATGGGTTGTTTAATAGGGATATATATTTCAAGAAGGGCGTTATATCTTGTTGTTCACCGAATATTCACACCCATCTCCACATTGGTCCATATTAGTACAATATTGTCCACTTTGAGCCTAATTCCTTGGATTTGCTTAAGATCATCAACCAAAAGCCATCATACAAATGGAAAATATGTGCTTTATAAACCCATACTTCTCCTCCTGATCAAATGAGGTGGGATTTTATTTGTATCCCAAGAAATACACCTAAGACCTAACTTATTCCTTCAAATATACACACAAAGGGTTTTCTTAAAGTAAACCCACTTGGTTTTTAGGAGTTTAATGAAGGAAATAAGAATTACCCTCTCCTTGCGTTCGGCTTTCTTTTGCTCCAATTCCTCAATAGCCTTGGCTCTACGAGCTTCGAGGGCTTTGAGTTCCTGCTCCTTGAAGGGCCAATCGTTGGGAATACCAGGGTCCTTCTCAACCTTCTTCTTTCCGCTCAAACGAAGCTTCTTCGCTTCCTTCGCCTTCTTCCTGTTGTGCTCCTTCACCTTCCTTATCACCTTGTACTTCTTCTTCAACGAAACCCTCTTACTCTTGCTCTCTGCAACGCAACAATTTCGTCAAAAAAAGATAAATAAAGGTATTGTAGGGTGATTGAGGGGAAGGGGATTGCTTACTCTTGCTCTTCTTCACCATTGTGTGCTACTCTTGACGTCGGAGAGAGAGAGAAATTGGAGAGGCGGTGGAGAGAAGAGTGTTGTGAGCTGAGGATACAAGTTTGTGAGGCGGGTGAGTCGTCTATTGCGTATTTAGGGTTTTTGAGTAGTGTGGTTCTAACCAAGGGGTTTATTCATATTAGTTATTTAAAATTTTAAATATTAATTAATTGACATTTACGTAATTTAATTTTTTAAAAAAATCATGATTTAAAGATAAAAATATATGTCGATTAAAAAAGATAAAAATATATATATATATAGGCTTCAGGATAAAAAAGAATGAAAAAAAAAAACAATGCACATATTATTAATTTAAAGGAGTATTTTGTTTTCAGTTTAATAAATATATATTATTAATATAAAATATTGTATATTATCGGTCAGCCAAAAAATACTTATAATATGATTTTTAAGAGTTGGTGTAAGTATTAACAAATTTATTATGTATGATGATTTATGATTAAATGATTGTGTAAAATTATTTTATTATATTTTAAATATTTATTTATTTTCATTTTGTAAAAATATTTAAATGATTACAATTTTTTTTAAGAAGAATAAGAAAAGTTTAGAAGGATTTTTTATTCTTCACATATGTGGAATAAAAATACAGTAAAGAGAATTTTATTAGTAATGATAAATATTTGTTTTATTATAAAAGAGTAAATTAAACTAATGAGATTTTTATGAGAGTAACAATATTTAAAAATTAGAATTATAAAAATATAATGTGTAAATCTGAACAATATTTGTGTATATTGATATGATTTGATTTTAGTCTTTATAAAATTAGAAAGTTCTAATTATAGTCTTTGTAATTTTTTTTCTTGATTTTTTATCCATCTTAAAGTAAGAATTGTTTTTTTGTTCATGTTTATTATGTAAGTATTTTTTATTATTTAATTATTTATTAAAAGGTCAAGTTAACCAAATTAAGTGTTTTTTTTTAAGATAAGAAAGAATACAAAGATGGTCGTAACGAGGATTGAATCTAGGTCTTCATGCTTCTAACTACATCAACCCCTCCCTACTCAACTAGTAGGCTAATCCTAGTGGTTAAGTGTTATTTACAACTGTTTAATAATTTTATATTAATTGTAACATCTCTAATTTTTTTCTATAGGTTGTTAAAATAAATGTTATTTTATCTGTCTTAAAATCATTTAGAGACTAAAAATAGTAGTTTTTAGATTTTAAAAAGATGAAAATCAAAGAAAAATATTATATAAGAACCAAAACTAAAATTTACTCATTTTATAAAGACCAAAAATATTTTATACGAACAAAAAATAATGTCTACAAATTTTAATATCACCTAAGTTTATATATATGGGCTACTATGTCTTAGAAAATATCAATATTTACAATCACTGAATAGGCTTTTCTATAGGAGGTTCCATATTGGAATAAGACAAATAAAAAATAGAAAATTTTTTATAAGGACTAAAATTAAAATTCACTCATTTTATACGGATTAAAAATAATTGAAATTAAACATGTGTACGGATTAAAAATAATTGAAATTAAACATGTGTAGTTGATTTACAATTAGATGATGTGAGTGATTTTGAGTATTTATTAAGAAGGTGTGAAAAGTTTAAAAATCAAATTTACAAAAAAAATAATAACTAAATAAAAAAAAGTATGGGAACAATGAATGTTTCGAAAGGCAAGGGGCAAAATAATTAATAAAATGTGTCCACTAGAAAGGCACATGCTTTATTACTAGTATAGATAACTAAATAAAAGAGTATGGGAGGAAATGAATGTTTTGAAAGTTAAGGTACAAAATAAAAATGTGTACAACAAAAAGGCTCATCGCATTTATTAATAGTATAAATAAATTTGAATATTTATTTTGTGTAAGAATATTTTTACGGGTTCCTCTTTAACAAAAATGATTTTTGGAACTTCACTTTAAGGATAACATTTTTATGGATTCTTTTAATTTCTTTCATTTATTTCAATTTTTATTTAACATATTTATTTTTTATCAATAATTAAAAAATCTTGTTTCAAAATATAAATTATTTATCATAATTATTTTATAGACTAAAAAATATCTATTTATACAAATTTTGAATAAAATTTAACATTATTTATATATAGAATTTATTATAAATTTCAATTATGTGTAATAAATATTTAATTTGTGTAATGCATAAATTAAAATATTTATTATTACTAAATATAATACACAAGTTTATTAATTAAAAATAATAAATAATAAAATTTTGTCCAAAAAAGGTAAATATTGTGATGAAACATAACATATGTTTACATGACAAAATCCTGTTTAAAGTAAAAAATAGTTGAGGGGTCCATTTGATTTACTTAAAATTATAGTACTAGAGAGGATAAATATAATTATTTTACATTTGATTTACAAAATGGTCACGAGACAAAACAAAAAGGATGGAGAAAGGCAAGACAAAAGTTATATTTTTTGTTACTTAATAAATCATGAGATAACTTTTCTTCCAAGTACAAAAATATTCACTATCATAGTGTTGTACTAACACTATCCCGACCTTCACCACCATTATCCAACACCAGCATTATCGTTGTTTACCATCATTATTGTTGACCAATACCACCGCTACAATCCAACGTCATTGTTGCTATCACTCACCACCACCACCACCATGTTCTTGTTAAATCCCAAAAGTCATTAGGAACATGGGGTTTAATTGGTGTTAAAAAATCTTTAAGAAAATTTAACTTGCACAACAAAATGGTTTCAACCTTTATTTATGAATTCTAAAATTACTCTTGAAAACCTAGTTCTTGAAAATTTAGTTGTTTGGTCTTCAAAAAATTTACTTTACAAGCAATCACAAAGATCAAATCCGTTGATTTTAGACAAATAAGAACATACACTTTTTTATTTCAAGAATGCATAAAAAGATTCACTATGAAAATAAGATAATGAGTATAAAGAAAGATTTACACAAAAATCTATACTAGTTTACTTTTCACAAAAAAACTACATCCAATCTTGTATGATCAACCATTGATCATAGGTCATCCACTATAAGGCAAAGTATGATTACAAACGAATTTAGATGATCAACAATAAATCCTATTATAACCCCTACAAGAACCATTTTCCAAAACCCTAACTAAGGAACCCCACTCTATCATGTTAACTGTTAGTCAAGTAGCCTCGTGTAACTTAAGAGGGGGGGTGAATTAAGTTATCTAATTTTTCTTCTCTTTATTAGTTTTTCTAACTTCTTTCTTATAAAATCAATATCATAAACAATTTGTACGTAATGATGCAAAAACTTCACAACAAAATTAAAAGTATAGGGATAGAGAATTGCAAACTTGATTTTATACTGGTTCGGTCAACCTTGCCTACATCCAGTTCTCAAGTCACCCACTTGAGATTTTTCACTATGCTTGTAACCTTTACAAGACTCAAATTCTCCAACACCTAGAAATTCTCTTTCCTCGTGTTGAGAATCACAGACCACCAAGGAGAACAACACTTTCTCCTTTACAGATCAATAGATGAAACTAATGAAGTAGAACAACTCTCTTTGAAGAGTGGATTTTACACTTTGTTGACCTAGTAGAACTCTTTAGATAATATTTGCAAATGATTTTTGGCCAAGTGATTGTAAAGATAATTTTTCACAATTGAGTTCGTAACCTTTTTCTGAAAAATTATTGGCATTTATAGATGTTTGTTTCATAGGTCATGACTTTTCATGAAGAGTTGTGACTTTCTAAAATTTTTCAAAAAATAGGCTCTGGTAATCGATTACAAGACTTGGTAATCGATTACAACGGTTAAAGTTCAAAATGATTGAAACGTTGTAAAATTTAAATTCAAATTTTGAATTTTATATCATCTGGTAATCGATTACAGGCAATGGGTAATCGATTACCAGAGAACCTTTTAATAAGAAAATTTCGAACATATGATTTTCATTGTCTGGTAACCGATTACATGTATTGGTAATCGATTACCAGACTCTTAAAACAATAATTTCCTCATTAAAACTTAAGATACACAAAGCTTATATTTTCAAAACCTTATTTATATATATAAAAAATTATATTTAGGTTTTCTTTGAAATTCTTTATTTTAAATGGCCAAGAATCTTATGCCAAGAATCTTATGCAATATTTCTAAAGATTTCTTTTTACATATAAAGCTAGGTTGACAAGACTTATCTAAAATACTTTGAGAAATTTGTTTCTTGAACACCTTGCTTTAACTTGACCTCTTGTTTTCTACAATTTGTTTGGCATCATCAAAATCTTTTACATGCGTTCTTCCACATTAACTCAAAAAATTCTATCTTATGACACACTTCCCTGTACATATACACAAGAAAACAATAAACAAAATTAAAAAAAAAATGAATAAACCTTTGTAGCTTAGCTATATCCCTTCATTGTCCATTGTGGAAGAAAATATGCACAAAGTTTTGATGATGCCAAAGCATTGAAGAAAATAAAGGTCAAGTTAAAGCAAGCTGATTAAGAAGCAAGATCTCAAGTAATAACTAGATAAGTATTGACTGCTTAGCTTAGTATGTAAAATGAACTTTTAGAATTTGCAAATTTGACTTGGCCATTAAAATAAGAATTTCAAGAAAACCTAAACTTAATACTTTTGAATATAAGAATAGGTTGTTTGAAAAGAAAGCAAAAAGAGTATTCAAAAGATTAAACAAAAATATTTTTAACTGGAAAATAGAAGCTCTTTATATCTTAAGTTTTCATAAGCCAAAACAAGTGACATGTTTCTGGTAATCGATTACCACTTGCTGTAATCGATTACAAGAGAAACAAAACCTTTCAAAATGTTAAAATGCTCTCTGGTAATCGATTACCACTGACTGTAATCGATTACCAGAAGAGAAATTTTCAAAATTCGAATTTGAACTATACAACGTTTCAAACATTTTGAACTTAAACCGTTGTAATCGATTACCAAGTCTTGTAATCGATTACCAGAGCCTATTTTCTGAAAAATTATAGAGAGTTACAACTCTTCATGAAAAGACATAACTCAAGATACAATTGTCTATAAATACCTATAATTTTTCAGAGAAAGGTGACGAACTCTATTGTGAAAATAATCTTTACAAATCACTTGGCCAAAATCATTTGCAAAATCTCTAAAGAGTTCATCAAAGATCATGAAAGTGTAATATCCACTCTTCAAGAGAGTCATTCTGTAATACTTAATAGATCATTGGATCTGTAAAGGAGAAAGGGTTTTTCTCCTTGTTGGTGTTTGAATCTCAACACAAGGAAAGGGAGTTCCGAGGTGTTGGAGGATTCATTTTCTTGTAAGGTTTACAAGAGTAGTGGAAATCTCAAGTGGGAGACTTGAGGACTGGATGTAGGCAGGATTGGCCGAACCAGTATAAAATCAAGTTTGCAATTCTTCTTTCCCTACACTTTTAATTTCTTGTTATTAATTATAATTGTGTAGTTTGCATCATCATTCATTCTTTACATACAAATTTGTCTAAGGAAATAAATTGATAAAGAAGTAATTGGAAAAGTTTTTTATAAGAGGAAAATTAGAAAACTTAATTCACCCCCCCTCTTAAGTTAATTGAGGCTAAGGGCGCAACTCTTTTTACTTAAGAGCGCAGTAGCCCAAGCGCCATGATTCGACAGTGACTTGGCCCACTTAGCCTCCGTCACGGGACAATTGATGCAACCTGCAACAATCTCCCCCTCAGCAATTGCCCTGCTGGGTATCGAACTCATGACCTTGGCTCTAATACTAATTGTTAGATCGAGCGCTTACTACTAGGCCAAAAGCTATAGCTGATAGTCAGGGCACAACTCTTTTTACTTAAGAGCGCAGTAGCCCAAGCGCCATGATTCGACAGTGACTTGGCCCACTTAGCCTCCGCCACGGGACAATTGATGCAACCCGCAACATCCATGTTTCTTGATCATAAAGAAATCTATTTTTGAAATAAGAAAGCTTTAAAGTATTTCCATTGAGAATTTAGTCTTTTTCAAAAACTTTTGCTCACATGTTTCTCTCTTTCACTTTCTTAAACAAAACATATTTTTCTATTTCATAAACTCTCACATGTATTTTTAAAATATGTTGAACTCTCTTCCAAAATGGAAGGTGTGTTGAGTTTATCTAGAAAAAGTTATACTGATGTAATTAATTACCTTGATCATGCAATCAATTATATTGATCATATTGCTAACCATAAACAAAGTTTGTGTAATTGTAATTGGTTATATTGTCATGTAATCCATTAAAACAAAATTTTTAGTTTTCTACATTACACTTTGTTCCTAATGTAATTGATTACCAAATTCTTGGAATCAGTTACATGTGCAACTTGGTCAAATGTTCGAAAGAGTGGTGCATAATTTAAAAGTCATTAACTAAACATCACATTTATAACTCAACAACATAACACCTTGCCTCTCATGTAATTGATTCCCCCGTAATGTAATTTGTTACTTTAGTGTATTTTGTTTTTTCAAAAACTCATATAATCAATTACTCTATTCGTGTAATGAGTTACATAATAACATTTTAAGTATAATGGAAAAGTCATATGTTTGTGTAATCGATTACTCTACTCTAATAATCAGTTTCTTTAGAGTGATGTGTCTTTACCATTTAAGTTTGATTCAATCTTAATCATTTGTTGATTGATTGATTTTAGTTTATGAAAACATGTTATTTTTAGTCTTTGTTTTAGTGATTTAGTGATATGGGAGATTAGCCTTAGCTACACTAAACCTAACCTATTTAACTTAACCAAGACTTGCATATAACAAATAAAAAATCTATTCTATTACAACATGACTTTTCTTGAGCTTTTGACTCCTTGCTTGATCATGTGAGAAGTCAAAACATCATTCCATCTTCCTCCAACTTCATCTTCTTTTCTTAATCACAACAATCTCTCCTTTTTTGTCTTTGAACATATAAACACCATGTTTAAAAATTTCTTAACAACACTCATTTCCATTGTAGTGATGTAGTGCAGTTGAGAGGTTACCTAAGAACTTCTAAAGCACGTAGTCATGTTAGTTCTTGACAACAACTTTTGCATACAAAAACCAAAAACTTGCACCAAAATTGATTAGTAATAAGAAATTTAATCAAACATATAAGAAAATGTTATTTAAATTTTTTTCTTTGATTCACATCAATATCATGTTTAATCATGTGAATATCCATTACCCATGCCTAACAAATTCCATGTGTTGCTTAACTTTTTCCCACACGCCCGGCCACCTTTTACTAATCTTCAACTCCAAATATCCCTAAAGCAAAACCCCCCAATGGGCAAATATTGAATAAACAACCAATACCACATTTAACTGTTTCAGCAATAAACCTTCTAACTTATTTTTTCATTCATTTCCAAACATTTATCCCACCAACCATTCACATTATAACCCGAGACAACAAATCTCAATCATCCAATATCAGAAAATATAAACCTTATTATTTTTTGCAGAACCTTGAGAACAAGGTTTTCATTTAAGTAAACCACATTGATGGGGTGGACCTAGAGAGACCCATAAGAAAGAAAATTAAGTGGTTTAAAGATTTTATAGGATGGAATTAAATTATTATTATATCTATCGTTAAATATAATTTTATTTTAATTTTCTAAAATAGGATGATGACACATGTAGGATCATCCTTAATAGTTATTAGGTTATAAATATGTATTCCCTTTAACTTATGAGACATCAATGAAAAATCTGAGTATATTATTTTATCTTCCTTATAGCTTTGTTAATGATAGATCTTAGCATAAGTGTAGTTATAGCTTTTTAGCTTCCTTCACCATTTTGCTTCCTTCAACTTGCTTAAAACCTTCATTAACAAGTTCAAGGACTTAATGTCATGTGGTTAGAGTCGGTGCATCCATCCTTCACCGAAGCGTCACCTTCAAGGCTTAGTATGGTTTGATTTTTCTTTCGTTTCTTTCCGTGGATCCTACTATTTTTGTCCTTGAATCTAAGCCTATCTTCTTACACTTTAAATCACATTTCTACTTCATGAAAAATCGATCATATCGTAATGGTCATTATTTTTTGGTCAAGAAGGAGGAGACACCAAGGGTTCATTTTCCAACCATCTCAAGTCCTTTTTTTATACATAAGAATATGCCATTGTTTTAATCTTTGTATGACTGCCTTGCATGATTAAAAATGTTATTATTTGAGTTTGATGATGTATGTGTTTAAATTAGCATGAAGAGTTTCTACTTTGTTTAAACTACCATAACTATTGTAATACTTTGAATCCAACTCACAAGTTTGTTTCGTCTGTTCTTAACATCTTTCCTTGAGATTAGAGATAACTGTTGACTCATTTAATGTAAGTGTTAATTGTACTTCACCAAATGGTACTTATTATCTGATCAAGTTACTTATCATTTTTTCATACCGAATGGAACTTGTAGAAACAATATCAACACAAAGTAACAGCATTAGTAACTTATCTACTTTTTTCTATGATTTTAAGGATCTTTGTCCTTGGTCCTAACAAAAAACATGATCTTGTTCTTTTTAACAGATATGTGAGTTCCAAGATGATTTTTTAGTTCAATATGTTAAGGAACAAGACATTCAAAATGAAGTTTGTCGTTAATCTCAATAAATAATGAACATTTACTGAATAATTAGACTATATGCTTGATCTGATTTACATCGTCTTACAGACGATCTGTATTCGTTTGATAAACATTTTTCAAAGATATTTTTAAAGACATTTTCTCTTATAAAAGCATTCCATTTGTTAACTTTAAAACTTAAAGGACCCAAAATTATTTTTTGACTTAACAAACATTAACTAAGCGCCTTGCACCCTCTCTAAGGAACAAGTAGTTGCCCACAAGTATTTGCAAGCTCGTACATAATCATGTGTGCTTTAAAACCATTTTATAACTTATAACCACATTCATCTACGAATTTCCAAGAAATTATAAGGAAATCTACTCTAAAATATTAAGTTTAATAAGCATTTAAAATTTATAAAATGTCTTGTTCATATTAAAGCTCTTGTATACATCTTTAAATTAAAATTATTGCTTATAGCAACAATAACTTATTTTGACAAAAAACAACTAAGAGCAAAAATATTTCTAAATTAAGAAAATGTTATATTAGTATTTCACAAAGTTGCTGCAGTATAACCATCGAATTACAAATTCAGTGTTAAATTTCCAATTTTATAAAACGTGTAACACTTTGATCCAAGTAACAAGAAGTTTAATCCCCTTTAAATAAGATTTTGAATTCAACTATAAAAAAAAAAAATATATATATATATATCATGTACTTATAAATAGGTTACTCATCTCCCTAAGATAATACATAAGTCAGATTCTATTCTCCATCTTATATTGTCTTGTTTCTTCTCTCTACTTTTTCTCTCTTTTATAACAATACAAGATTTTTACCTTCGCGCAATATTTTTATTTTTAATCAGCAATATATATATATATATAAATAATAAAAAATAGACAGAGAAGCTTTGCTCCCGACTTGCTCAAATTTGTTGAAAGTCCGAAGTAATTTCTAGGTGCCGGGGTGAAAGGAAATTACTATTTTTGCCCATTTGCTATCAATAAATAAATAGAAAAATTAATGTCTTAAAAATTACCATCAAACATGGCATTTGCCACTTCCCTTTACAAGAACATAATTCAAGACGGATTCTAGCATGTATAACAAAACTATCACATGTATAACTATGAGATGAGATAACAGGAATTTGATTAGAACTGCACCCCGTGCACTGAAAATATAATCCAACGACGGATAATTCTAGAAAAATAAAATAGTTTTATTTTAATGAATAAAAATACATTTTTAGGGGTTAAGATATATACAATTAAAATTTTAGCTGCAGAGAATCTTGATCCTCATTATCAGAATCCTCATCATCAGTCTCATCATCATTATTGAATCCATTGGCATTATAATGTACATCATAATCATCTTCATTATCAACGTCGTCAATTTCAAGATCTGCAGTTTCAGTTTCACTATTGACATCAAGAACATTATGCGAGGTCCAATCAGGAGGAAAGGTCTTTTGTAGGGCTTCTGTTAGTTCCCCTCCGGTCCTCTCAATCTTGCGCAAACATCTTGACCAGTGGACCGCAGTTCCCATGTCAACAGTCATCTCAGACTCTATCATCTCTCTACATATGGACAAGAGGCCACTATAAACGTATGATTGAGCAAAGGTGGCTCTTGATAGCAAAGATGTCACAAGACAATGGTACACTGCTCTGTCTGGCTTCAATCCAGCTTCTTTCATCTCTTCAAAGCACTTCAAAGCTTTCTCTGGCATAGAAGCACGTGCCCAACCATTTATTAGAGTCGTGTAGGTTTTGATGTTTGGTTTTATACCAGATGCTTCCATTTCTTGGATAATCTCTGTTGCTTTCTGGCGGGAAGAAAAAAAACTGATTAGCAGGTGATATAAATAAATTACCATGATTAGACAAAAATCATTCAAAACCATGCTCTGACGTGGTTTAACTTTAACATACAGCACGACGGGTATTATGAAAATTGTAACATAAACCGTCAAGATCTTTTGTGAGAGGAAACAGATAGAATTGAAATGAGATTTCATACAATGCAAGATTTCACACAATTGATTGTAATGCTAAATGACAGTGAAGATGCACGAAAAGAGACACTTACACCCTTACTTTTAGTCCATTATAAGTAACCACAAGCTTAACAATAAATAATATTTCTCAACAACCAATACCATCATACCTGCATATCCCCAGCTTTACAACAAGCATTTATAAAAGAAGTGTAGGTATGGATGTCTGGTCGAACTCCTTCTTTTCTCATTTGTTGCATCAAGTCTGCAGCCTCCCAAACATCACCTCTCCGAGCCCAACTAAGAAAGGTAAACTAGGTTACTAACATACAACAGGTTGCGGAGCCAGTAATAATGGAGAAAAATATTAAAGAATCCATGTGTGTGCACGTGAAAAAAATGTAACAGAAAATAGACAATGCCAACATTCAAGAATATATACTAGAGATCACAAGCCCACATACTACAATATTATTAATGAAAGAAAAAGGAGAAACATCAAACAAGCATGAGGGGGCTATACCAAAATCTATGAGAAAATATCAACAGAAATGACAGGACAGCAATCCACCACGCAGAAAAAACAATAACAAATAAACCTAGGGATAGACTCCCACCAAGTTACACCTAGTTGGTGGTGGTCAATGCCATAAGCAAATGTTAGATAAAGTGAAAACTTTAATTTTAATGGTCAGATGTAATTTATTCATACCCATCAATTAGTATGTTATAGACAAAAGTGTTCCTTGGAATCTTTTTTGCACTCATTTCTTTTGTGACTGCAAGGGCACTCTGCATTCTGCCTGACTTGCAACATGCCTTCAACAATGCTTCATAGGTATAGACATCAATCTCCAGGCCCTCATTCCTCAACACCGTAAAGTACTGAAAGGCCTTTTCAGTGTCACCCAGTGAAGCATAACCCTGCATAAGAGTTGTATATGTATGTTCATTTGGTGCAACGCCTGCCAGATTCATTTCATCCAATATTGCTACAGCCTTGGCCATCTACAAGAAAAGCAACATTTACAGAAAGAGTTACATAGTGTGAGCTAACATAGACTAAAGCAATAAAACTAACAGAAACATCCCTGTATATCTAACAGTTTGTCATTCAATCATACTAAAGAAGAATACAATCAAAAGATAATTAGGGCTTTAATAGGATGGATTTTTGTTCAACTGCAATGAAAATAAATCTGGGTAGTGTAAAACATCAAAGACAAAATAGTTAATGAGAAGATGAAACAAAACTCTGGAATCACACTCATAGTGTGTTTGGATGAGGAATTTTAAATTCTTGATATTTGAAATACTTTAATTTCAATTTCTATTATTCTTAAAATATTTTGTTTGGATAAGTTAATTCAAATTTCATAAATTTTAAATTGTTAGGTTGGATATGATAATTTGATTCAACCATAGTAAAATTGATTTTAAAAATATATTTATATGTTGCAATTTTTAAATTAAATTTTATAAAAATAAATATTAGCTAAATTTTAAATATTTAATGATTTTAAAAATTAATATTAGATAATATTTAATAATTTTAAAAATATTTTTGAATATTCAATAATTAAAAATATGAAAAGATAAGAGATAAGATAAAATATATAAGTGAAATAAGAAGAAAAAAAATATAAAGAATTTCAAATTCTTTTTTTTTTTTTTGGAAAATTTGAAATTTTACTATTTCAAGGAATTACACAAAAGCTTGAATTTCAAATTCTTTATAAATTTTCCATCCAAACAAGGTATTTAACCTCAAAGAATTTGAAATTCTTCAAAGAAATGAATTACTCCATTTAAATTCTTCATTCAAACACACTATTAGGGTCCTGTTAGAGCTAATCAATCAATATCATAAGACTCTATTAGGAACCAATGTTTTAATAAAACCAATTAGTACTCCTGTTGCTAGTCCTGATTGAATAAGGAAAATCTTTTAAACATTGAGACTTTAAATGCATACTGAAACAAACTAAGACTACTAAATAAAACCAATTAGCACTCCGGTTGCTAGTCCTCATTGAATAAGTTGAACAATGATACTTTATGCTACAACTAAAATAAATGCATATCAAAACAAACTAAGACTACCAAAAAACTAGAGGATAAAACATAAGTATGGTGGTTTACCTATTCCTTCTCCAGTTTTCCAATCAATAATATGAACGTATTATTATGAAAACCCATCTTGATTTCTTAATCATTGAGAAATAATTTTAGCATTTTTCATCATCAATAGTTAGCCTTTGATTTTAATGTTCCCTGATTCTTTAAAGAGTGCCGCAATTTCGAAGGCTTATAAGAGTAAGAAGCAACGGAAGCTAGCAGTGCAGTCACCGTTGTGCCAATTTTAACTTCATAGCAATCAATTAAATTTTAAAAGTTTCCAACTCAGAACTTAAAGAAATAATTAAAAAAAATATCAAAATCAGGTGTACTTAGATTCACTTCTAGAGAGCAATTGCAATGTAACTACTATATATGTTTATTTAATTTATTGCAGTTAGCTATTTAGATATTCATGTTCACTTATTGAAAATCAAATAAATAAACATATAAAAGATAAGGAAAAGCAGGAACCAAGTCATTTAGGTATTGTAATTAACAATTGTTTATCAACAATATGTTACCTGGCGCTTCTCAACAAGTCCAAGAATTAGAGCATTATATGTATGTACAGTAGGAATGCAGCCATTCCTCCTCATCATATCAAAGATCTCCAGGGCTCTCCTCATCTCTCCAGCTTTTGCAAAACCATGTATAATGGGCAAAAATGTGCGTGTAGTAGGTCTATGTCTCTCCTTTTGCATTTGCTTCACCATACAAATGGCTCGATCCATATTACCCATCCCACAAAAAGCTGTTATAATGTTATTGTAGAGTACTACATCAGGCTTCAAACCATCTTTAGTAAAGTCTTCAAAAACGGAAAATGCATTAGCCCAATCTTTTAACTTCAAGAACCCATTGATCAACATAGAGTATGTCTTCATGTTATGTTTTATGCCAGTCATTTTCATCATTTTGTTAATCTCCAAAGCTTTAGAAACTTTTCCTATCTGAAAAAAGAAGATAAAACAGATTGGCGTCAACAAGTCAAACTTAATTTGTTTGCTTGACCAAAATTAATTTCCCCACATTTAGCACAAAGTAAGCCTTAAGCAAGCAATTACAATAAAAGGTATAAATGAAGGAGCACGTCATATCACAAGAAACAAGAGAGACCTTTTCGTTTAAATGAAAGAAAAATTACTTTGGGCTTGTTTGATTCCCTTCTCACTTTTTCTTTTGTTTAAAAAACTGTATTCTATAACAATCACATACTAGCCTGCAATCAGTTTGTCATCCAAAACTATTAGATTTTGAAATTTGTTTCCAAAAACAAGTGTTTTAAAAACCACAAACCAAACTACTGGGTGATGTTTTCTCATTCTCTTATCTTCTATTTCTTCAGTTCTCTCTGAGTACTCAGGAAACAAACTTTTAGAAAATAGAAATGAGTTTTAAGGAGACAAACTTTTAAATGTGTTCAAGGAACTAGGAAATTTTAGAAACAGAAAACTGCTTTTGTAAACAGTAAACAAACAAGGCCTTTTATTTAATTTTTCTTTTTTGGTGAATAACATGGCCTTTATCTGCCTTATATAATCTTGGACATGGACAGTTTATTAGCTGCAAATAGATTATCTGTTAAATATTGATTTCATGTGCTTCTCAAGGGATTTGGTTCTGAATTCGATATGAGCATTTGATCATGGTATTTCAAAAGTAGTATCATAGCCATAGTTGTCAATCCCGGATAGCAGAGTGAAGCAGCCAAGCCCAAAACTGGGATAGCAGGATTGCGAATAGCGGGATGACCGTTATTCTAATATTATATTTATATTAAATAATTAGATATATATATAAGTTAAAAAACAGAAAAATTACTCAAAAATTCATGTATTAATCATTTTTAATAATTAAAAGTCATGGAGACAAGGTGCTTAAAGCTTTAAATCATAAGCTAAAGCCTAAAGTAATTAAAGGACTAAGTAGCTAAAAAAGTAAATATTAAAATTCAACCTTCATTCTCCTGACCACCGATGGTGTATCAGTAACAGCAGCACCTGAGCTATATTTTTTTGTTGATCAGCAATTGGTCGGGCCAAGATTTTGCTGACCACCAAAGAACAAAACCATACAAGTAAAAAAAATGAACAGAATAAAAAAAACTGCTGCTGTCAACAATAAAAAAAAATAAAAGGAAGAGAAAAAAGAAAAGAAGGAAAAGAAAAAAAAACAAAAGGGAACAGAAAAAAAATAAGAAACCAAGGGAACAGAAAAAAAAAAAAAAAGGAAAACAAAAACTCTCATTAAGGGGAGCAATTTTTTATTTTTCATAACCCGCTCCACCCCAACCGCTACGCCTGCTCAACTCCACAGTTTTGTGGCCGCTCCAGTGAAACACCCGACTATGGGGTTACTGTAGCAGCAAGGAGCCATTCCATTCCGCTCCACTGCTATAGAGGGCACTATGGCTGTTATCGACAACATAGATCATAATAGCTGACAAAATTAAATGAAACAAAAAAGTTGAACTTCTTTAGTTTTAAAGAACTAAAAGAAGAGAATTCATGATAAAGAACTAATTCTAAGAGATTGGTAATCGTCAATTCATGAAAGACTGGACTAGAAGCAACATTCAAAGTGACTTGACTGTTGCAAATTCTTAGAATGTGGAATTAGGCCTAACTCAACTCAACCTTACAAAACCAAATTATAAAACTAGTATCATAGCTAACAAAATTAAAAAAATAAAAAATAAAAAGTTGAACTTAGAACTTTTATAGCTTTCAAGAAGAGAATTCATGACAAAGACTGGACTAGAATTATACTAAGTTCCAATATTGCCAAAATCATATTGTAAATAAATATGCTGAACAGTAACAGTAACAAAAAAAAATAAAGAGAAGCACAGTGTGTAATTGTAGTTGAGGAAGGAGGATCAAACAGCACAGGTAAGAGTTGACAAACTTACACCACCCAACAACCTTTTACAGAATATAATCTTTATCAGGACAACCATTGAATTGTAACTATCCATCATCATGATATTTCACACATGTTAAAAAAAATTGAACATCAATAAATAATTCATATTTTTGCATATTTGAAATCGATATTAATCTTAATTAATCATAATATGAAAAGTGCTTAAATAAAGTGAATTTTACCGGTATGATCAACATGATAGGAACATCAATCAATCAGGCAATTACTACTGAATGAGATAAGGAAATAGGATAGCATAAATGACCAAATTAATATAATGCATGAAATATACCTTACCTTGGTGTAAAGATTAATAAGACAGCCATAGCTGATAACTGAGGGAGAGAAACCACATTCCTTCATCAAAACAAAGAAATGTTTTTGTCATTCAATGCTGAGTGCAATAATGCATAACAATTTTAGATACCATATCCAAATAAATCAAGGTGGCTGTGTGAGTAATATAACACATGCTAAATTAACAAAAAATGGTACAAATGTCAAACAAAAATAGAGACTCCTGTCCTAAGAACCAAAATTTAAAAGAAACATGTTAGATACTTGATGCATGAACTGTAGACTATAATAAAAAATTGGAAATTGTTTACCACCTTTTTCTTACAAATATTATTAAAATACTATCAAAATCTGAATAGTGTGAAAAAATATCAAGATAAATTTGCTTGAACAACAAGATGGAAATGTGAAAAAAAATCTCTCATGAATTGGTTTGAAAACAGCCTGATTTGCCTTAAGCAACAGCTAGCAACTGGAAGAGAACTCCAGAGCCTATGAGACAACAAACATGGTAACTGAGCTACCACCACCAAAACCTCCAGATTCCTATGCTAAAATACCTTTTGGATCTGAACTTTCATCTAGCAAATTACTTTTTCAACTTCAAGTATTTTGTGTGTGCCAAGTTAGGTTCTCAAGCTACTATTGATATTCTGACTATCATTGAATACAGTGAGTTGGATCCATCTCTGGTTTCTGCAGTAATGATGATGATGATAAAATAAAACTATGAACAAGTGATACCTTAAATTCATCAAACACTATCAAAGCAAATCCTACATACAAACTGGAATTTTTATGTTAGAAACTTATGTTTATGTCCTCCTTTGGTCTGTTAATGTTCTTATGATATAACTGATGACAGCACAATGAGCACATAACATGAAAACTAGAGAGCTTATAGTAATAGGATGATGATAAAACTATGAACAAGCTATACCTTAAGTCTGTCAAACACAATCAAGCATTTATCTTCATTACCGATCATGGTATAACCATCCATCATGGTATGATATATGTCAATGGGAGCATCTATCCCTTGTTCTTCCATCTCCCTCACCAAGGCTTCAGCTCGATCCATGTTGCATGCTTGACTGTAAAATGCATCAGGATTCAAAAACAATGAGAGGAACAGAGGAAGAAAGTTGAAAAGAAATAACAATTGCGCATGAACAAAAATTGGACAATTATAGAAACAGAAATCTATGTTAATAATAGACAGAAAAGTTAACCACATTAGTGAATAATTGAGTGGTTGATGTGTTCAGTTTTCAACCTAATATCAATTTAACTAACCACTTGAGTGGTAAATTTTTTTGTCTTGGTAAACAATGCCACTTATTTTAGTTGTTTTTTTTTTCCAGCTAAAGATTACAAAATGGAAATAAGGAAATGACCCAGGTAAATTTGGAAGATAATTTTCCATTTAGTAAATGATCTACCTAGTACCTACAACATATGATAATTGAAGGTTTTGTATCATACATATAAAATTGAACCCATTAAAAGAAATATGAATGCTCACCAGTGCGCATAAATTATGCTCCCATAAATGACAGCATTTAAAGATGGGAGCCTCTCTTTGGCCTCCTTAAACCATTGATCTGCAGCACTTCCAAAACAACACCAAATAGTTATCTCCATGATACAAAACTGATGCTTTACTCTTCACTCATTTATGAACAGGCACTCAAATTATTTCCCTAAATCAAACTAGATCAAAACTTTCATGTGATCACTAGGAAGAAAAAAATAACACGAGTGGGGTTATTGAATTATTAAAAACACGTAAATGAAAAACAGGCAAATTCAAAGTTAATCCAAATATCCAATCACATAGTAAGAGAAAAATACCAACCCCAAACAGGTCTATGGCTTCCTCATAAACTGGAAATATAGGCATTCTACTTCTAGTTCAGTGGCAATCAGTTGCTACTTGCTAGAATTCCATTCTTGCATTAGTTTACTATGAGTTTTGAAAGTTTTGTTTATTGACTGGATTCAGCTTCTCTGTTACAGACAAATACAAAGTATTTTCTGATGTTTATATAACCCAGACATCTTCATTTCAAAATATATGCCACAACAGTACGCTTTCCAGAAAAATATAGTATACAAATTGATGGAAAGCCTCATTAATTCCTGTCAGCATCACCCCTAGCCCACCTTAGTTGCAGCCTCTTTGGAAGCTACCTTAATTGCAAACTAAAGGGTGGTGATTTAGTCCCACATTGACTAGAGACATCGCTCAAGTATAACTTGTAAAGTTTGGGCAGTCCTCACCAATACAAACTAGTTTTGTGGGGTTGAGTTGAGTCCTAAACCCAAATTCTTAGACAAACTATCCTTAAAAGATTCACCCCGGTGCATTGACCTAGAACCAAAATGAAAGTCTAGGACTAGCCACATGAGAGATGCACAAGAATCATTCTTGGCACCTTTCATTCTTTTTCCCTTTTGGAATGGTATCAAAGCTCTATTGCCAAAAAGTCTGAATTCAATCCTTTCTGGCAACATTCTTTATAAATTTGTAATAAAAATTAAAAACAAATCAGCACAATTGAAGTGGGAATGTGTATTAGGCATAATTGGGGTGAGCTGGAGCTGGAGGAGGAGATTTACATGGAACAACCTCTTTGGTTTGTTTCTCAAGGGGTGTTTGATTTAGTTTGCAAATTGTGAAGGTCCCTTTATGGTCTCTAACAATCTCCTTGGGCTTGGTTTGGAAAATTTGGTCATGTGGTGTAGTAGGACTTTGGGATGAAAAGAAGTGAAATAGACCACTCAGTTTTTTATTGTATTCTTCCCTTGGGAGGTGTGTTTATTTGATTGTTTATGTTGATGACATAGTGATTACAGGGAACAATGCAGCTACAATCTCTCAATTGAAAAAACATTTGTTTAGCCATTTTCAGACCAAAGATCTTGGATGTCTAAAATACTTTATTGGTATTGAAGGGTGAAGAAGCACAATCAAAGGAATGCATTGTGATTTCACAAAAGTAGTATACTCTTGATATCTGGCAAGAAATAGGCATGGCTGATTGCAGGCCAATTGATAGCCCTATGGATCATAGCCAAAAGTTGATGGCTGATTAGGGTGAACCATTCAGAGGCTCAGAGAGATTGGTTGGGAAGCTCATTTATCTTACAATCACAAGACTTGATCTTTCTTTTGCAGTAGGGATTGTTAATCAATTCATACAAGCCACTTAATGATCATTGGAATGTTGTTTTATGCATTCTTAATATATTAAAAAGGCTCCAGGACAAGGATTGTTGTATGAAGACAAAGGAAACAACCAAACTTCTGGATATTGTGATGCTGATTGGGCGGGGGTATTCCTATAGACCAACATTCTACTATTGGATATTTCATATTCCTAGGTGGAAATCTCATCTCTAGGAAGAGCAAGAAATAGAATGTTGATGCTCAATCTAGTCCAAAAGCTGAATATCAAGCTATGGCATTACTTGTGAACTTGTATGGATTAAGCAACTTCGTCGATAGTTAATATTCTGTGAAGTACATCCAATGAAATTGTATTGTGACAATTAGGCTGCACTTCACATTGCTTCCAGTCAAGTATTTCATGAGAGAACATATAGAGGTTGAATGTCATTTGACTGAATTCGTCAACTCCAATGAACAAGTTGCAGATGTTATCATTAAGTCATTGAGGGGAGCTAAAATTCAGTTTTTATGTTCCAAGCTTGGTGCATACAATCTGGTGCTCTAGCTTGGAGGGAGAGTGTTGGAATAGCTTGTTTAAAAAGCTTCTAAATATTTTAATCTTTTGATATACTTTCTGATTGTATTTTTGACTTTAATGTGATGACTTAGACTCTTAGCCTTTTAAGCCTTAATTGTATTCAAACTATATATATAAAGAGTATACAAATCAGTGGAAGTTAACACACTTTTTTTTTCCCAAAACTGTATCCCTCAATATTCAAGTCACCTTATGGCTTAATCTTTTAGGAGTGTAGGTATACGACCAAAAAGGGGGAAAAACCAAGAAGAAACAATACTTCCAATAAAAAGATACAATAATGGGAGAAATTTATCTAATTTACTTACTTGGCATTGCCCATTTTAGCAAATCCTCCAACAATTATACTATATGTCACTATAGTCATTTCAATGCCCTCTTCCTTCATCTTTTTAACACAGTGTAAAGCTTCTTCCATGTCTCTACCAACTGCATAAGCATGAATAAGACTGCAAACATTTAACGTATTAATTATCAAAGTCAGAAGAAACAATAACCATAGTGCTTTTTCTTTTTTCATGAAAGAAATTTAAACTTCATTTGAAGTGCGAATTTAAAGAGAACTTCATTTGAAGGGTAAAAATTTGAAATAGCAGAAAGGTTGAATAATTTTCTACCCAATCAATAATATTCAACTTTGGAAAGAAAAGTCAATTCATTCACATGTTCATCTCTGAAAATATAACACATGCCAATCAGAATGCAGCCTTAGCTTAAAAGCTAAAAATAATTTTAGCTGATCTTAAAATTATACCACAAGACCTTGTTTGAAAAATTTACCTACTGTACACATGTGAAGATGGTTCTATTCCTCTTGCTCGCATACTCTCAAATGTTTGGCGTGCATGATGCATGTCCCCTCGTCGCGCATAATATTTAACCATCAAGCCATATTCTTTTCTAGCAGGCTGAAAAATTAATGACCACAAAATGAATCAGAGAACAATTACTTACAATTCAAATTAAAGAAGATAAACAAATAACTCACAGATGAACAGTAAAAAACTTTATGTAACCATCTTGGTGTATGCATAACAAAAGGAAGTATTAGTATAAATCTACTATTAGTACGAAAAGAGACTGGCATGCATAACTTTAGAAAATTAAGGAACCTATTATCTATCCTGTCTAGATACAATCCAGAGGCTAGAGTCCAATCTTTTAAAACACCTCCACCCTCAACAAAAAATAAACAAAGAAAACCCTACCTCTAATCAATTGCTCTTTTGGTAAGGGAAAACATAGGCCACACAGTTCAATTTTCCAGAAACAACTGCCTTCAAGATTGCACTTCTATTTCTACACTCATTTACCAGTCTAATGACTAATCTCAGTTTTTCTCTTTAATTTTTAAACCATCATATTCTTGGCCCCTCCTTTTAATATGACTTATAGCAATGTCTCACCATCACCGGTGTTATTATTAAGGTAACACAGGAAAAAAAATTCATAAACGGCCATTATAAATTACAATTGTCGGAAGTTTGGTTTCAAAGACATTATCTACTCTTATTTTCTGTTTACACTCTATTTTCAGTTTTCAAAAGTATGTATAAAAAATGGTGTAAACAACTTTCACTATTTTCTATTTTCACTATGGTTTCACTTCTTCTTATATATACTTCAGGAAACAAGAAACAGAATACCAAAAAGGAAAACAAACGTTTCTCAAATCTAACAGCCCTACAATCATGATCATCCACTGCAAATAACTACTTCCGGTATCCACAAAATAACTTTTCACTATTTTCTACTTTCATTTATGGTTTTCACTTCTTCCTATGTAAACTTCAGGAAAAAAGTGTGCACTGCAAGTAACTACTTCCGATTTCCACAAAACAACTTTTATTTCTTCAAAATTTCACTTCTAATTCCACACTCATTTATCAGTCTAATATCGAATCTTCTCTTTAATCCCTAAATCATAATATACTTGCCCCCTCTTTTAATTTGACTTTTAGCAATGTCTTACTGGTCTTAATAGTTAGGTACGTAGGCACTAGGCATAAAAATTCATTGATGGAATCTAACTTGGTTGGTTAAGTTGGGTGTCGTGAGTGTTATAAACCTTTTGATACCAAGTTCAATTTCTATATAGATTAAAAGAACTAAACTAAAACTAGCTAATGCATTGGAGAAGCTAATATAAAAAAGCTTCTACAAATTTGCTGCTAATTTTAAGAGGAACCTATTTCATTTTTACAGGCTCTAAGTTCATAAGTTGATCTAGAATTTAAGAGAGAAGCTTAATTCAATTAAGTTTCATATCTAGTGTGAGTATTTCATAAGAAGTTTATCTAAACTATGAGAAGTGCATGCATGATAAGAATAAGATGATAAACCTTCTTAATTCTCTCAAAGGCGCTCACAACGGCCTGCCAATTCTCGGGCTGGGTTTCCAGAACCTTCTGGAAGTCCTTCCTGGACCCGTCCCTCTCCTCGTGCCACGTGGACCGGTACTCTCCCTTTTCACCCTTCCCTTCCAACCACCGCGCCCTCTCTTGCGCCTTCTCCCTCGTCCTCTTCCCGTCGTCCAGCTTCACCGTCAGCACTCTGCCGTGAAACTCCACGCCGTCGAACTCCACCGCCCGCATCGCCGCCTTGTCCGCCGCCTCCTCGTCGCCCTCGTAGAACACGAACGCGAACCCCGCGTTCCTCTCCGTCTCGCGGTGGCCCCTGATCAGAACAACGCTCCGTATCGCGCCGAACTGCCGGAAGAACTCCGCCACCTGGGGCTTCTTCACCCACGCCGGCAGGTTCCCCACGAAGATTTTCCCCGGCTGCCGGAAATCGATCTCGGAATCGGAATTCGCGCCTTCGCCGCCGCTCTCTTCGGTTTCCGGAGGCGGCGGCGGTGGCGGAGGAGGCGTAGGAGGAGGCGGAGGCGGAGGCGGAGGGGAGAGTTTGCTTGTGAGCCATAGCTTGCTGGCGAGGGGGTTTGGGGTTGGAGTGGTTTTGAGGGATTTGGAGGGGCGGCGAGGGGCGGCGGAGTTGTTGGAGTCTGACGGCGGTTTGAGAGAGAAGGACACGGTGGTGGTGGCGGCGGAGGAGGAGGAGGAGGAGGAAGAGTGGTGTTTGGGGGAAAAAATGGTGGAGCTTGTGGGTATGGATAAGTGTGAGGTGGAGAATGAGAAGGGTTCCATTGTTATTGCTATCGAAGTAGTAAGTAGCAGCAGAATCAGAACCTCGCTACTCTCTTCACTCGTATATCACTAACTAGTAACTGTGCTGTGTAAGATATGAAAAGATGTGCCTCGTGTGGGTGTAAGATTTTTTTTTTCTTCCGAGAAACTAAAAACAAATAAATATATGATAATAAATATATATTTAAAAATTATGTTAAATTAAATTACTGGATAAGTTATGAAATATTTGAATATTCTCAAATAAGTGCACGAACTAAACAAAAAAATGATCATATGTAAAACAAAATTTAGTGGTGATTTGAACTATACCGGAAAAAAATTTCTTCGCATGAATCGATCTGAAAATCAATTCACCACACTAAACTGAATTAAATTAAATTGTTTTTTAATTCACCAAAATAAATTAAATTATACTATAAAAGTTTGAAGTAAATTATAATTTAAATTGTTTTTATTATTGTTATTAAAGACACTCAGACCCTTAGTGTATTTTAAAAAGCAAAAAGTGATTGGTTAATAATAAATTAAATTGTTTTTTAATTCATCAAAATAAATTAAATTATATTATAAAAATTTGAAGTCAATTATAATTTAATTTGTTTTTATTATAATAATAATAATTATTATTATTATTAAAGACACTCAGACCCTAAGTGTATTTTAAAAAATAAAAAGTGAGTGGTTAATAATAATTTTTTAGTAGTTGTAATTTTAAGGATAATTTTTTTAAAAAAAAGGAAAAAAGAATAATTTGATAAGTAATTTTAAGGATAAAATTATCCACAAAAAAAAAAGTGTGGACACTAAATGAGATAAATTTTTCTTTCTTTTTGTTACATGAGAAAAAATGGACAAAAAAATAGGAAAAAGAAAACTAGAAACACATAAGTAAAACACATATTAGTATTTATGGAGAAAATATAGATACTAGAAAAGGGTTAAATAGTATTAATCGAAACTAACATTTTTTCTAAACAACGAAATAGGATCTTAATTTTAGGAGTGCAAATGAAGAGATAATAAATAATAACACAAGGTATTTTTATATTAGTTTGTCTCAACTATCAAAATTACAACCAATTTTTATTTTTTAATCAACCTGATTAAGTTCAATTATCTTTTATAAAGATACAATCATTTTTTTATAAGTCACTTCTAACTCAACTAAGTATTATTTGATTTATCTATTCAAGCAATTACCCAAGTATTATTTGAACATTAAGTCTCTTCAGGCTTCAAACAACCAAGTATTCTTTAAACACAAAGTTTTTTTAGACTTCAATCAACCAAGTATTTTTTATAGTAAAGTCTTTTTAGGCTCAAAATATTAATACTAAGTTAAAATTGGGTAAAATAATTGTGTTGTTTCGTCTTATTTTCAAAACGTGATACAACAATTAATATTTTTTCAATGTGTTCTTTATATTTTTTTTAATCTTCAAGCTTCCTTATATAGGTACTTCAGTGAAGATCGTTGCAAAACATTGATAGTCTCTCACAAGCTTGTTATGTCTACCTTCATTTTCGTTTTATGAGGGGATAATGGTATGTTGATGCATTAATTGTTTGTATTAAATGTGTTTCACCAAATTGTCATTTTTTATCTGATCAAGGAAGTTACTTAACACCTTTTAGGTACTAAATGAGTGGAGTCATATGTGAGTCAGTTCAAAATATTTTTTTTAGGAATTTTGTGATCTAAGGGATCCATTCATCTTTTTTCTAATGCAAAACATGTCTTTTGTTCCTTACATCATTTATGAGTATCAAGGAAGTTATTTCACTTCAACTTGTTAAGGAATCATGTGAACAAAGATTGACTTAATTATCAAACATCATAAATGATATAAATTCAAAATGTTTATCTTATATATAGATGAAGTGTTTCATCTGTTAGACTTAATGTTTAGATAAGTAATCATCTTACAGATTGTCTTATACCAATTCATCTTATTGTTTGATCTAAAAAAAAACTTTTTTCTAAAAGAACGTTTATGCTTGTTATCATTAAAATTAAAATATAAGGGGTCTAAAAACATTTTTTAACTTAACAATCTCTCTCTTTTTTACGATGATAAACATGTTTTAAAAAAAAAGTTTTATATAATACAAATCCAACCAAATTTTCTAATATATGAAGGAGTTTGCTTTTAGAAAATCGTTTTAAAGTAAAAAACTTTGTATGATAAGATAATATGTTTGTTTTAATAAAATTTGGTATCAAAGTCAATTATGTGTGTTTAAGGAAAATTTATCTATTAGAGCAAAATGTGCATTTGTATCGAATCAAAAACTTTTATCATATTTATCAATATCAGAACATAAGGTTTCTAATGATATGCTTAGCTTTTCCTATCAAAGCATATAAATATCGTAATATATATATATATATATATATATATATATATTAATATGTATTA